AAAACCAAGAGAAACTCCATGATCTTGTTTAGTTGTAGAATTTGAAGGAAGGCATTAAGTTTGGGGGAAGTTGACTGGTTGAGGTGGGTAGTGGAAATATCAACCAACATAGTTGGTGGGGGGGAGGGGGGGGGCGCCTCCTACTACTACTACTACTGCTACTACTACTACTACTACAACACCATAACCAGTATTATTTCTATTAGTACTAGTATTTCTGTTCTTATTTCTGTTATAAATGTTTTCGTGAGGGCCAGGTGAGGCCTCTCGAATGCGCGAACAAGAATTCGTGCATTTTCACGTCAGCAATCCAAACGAAGGGTTTATAGGGTTTAGGCCACTTTGCTGGAAAAGGGATAAATAGGACGATATCCCTACATAAACTCGTTGACCCTAGTTTCCACTTCATTTTCTATTTTCTGTCTGAGGCTTTTTTTTGTCAACCTTCAGTGGCTTGCAATGCTGCAAGGACATGGTGCTGCCAGCATGAGAAGCGTGCTTGCGACAAGTACAACTGCCGCTTAGCTGCTTGAGAGCTTCTCTGAGTCAACCACTTAGAGGGTCAGGTGGACTTAGTAAACAGATTAACAGAAAATGCGGATGACTATGGTTACTTGGGGGGTTGTAGGGGTTACTGACCCACTTACTAAGTCCCCTTGACCCTCCCAAGCAGTTCAAACTCTGCGGCCTGACGAAGATGTGCTGCTAGGTGAAGGAGGTTTCAACACGCGCTACACGACGTGGAGCAATGCCAAGCAGGAATACTGCTGCCAGAAGTATGGATATGCTTGCGGATCCGACTCAGGCCGGAAACTTTCAGATGTACGTGGGGATATTTCATATCAATGTTCCGGAACAGCCTGGTTTTAGCCCCCAGGCTCTCGAATCAGCCACCAGGGAGACCAAATTAGCAACTAGCTTATTCGCCTACGTGCATGGTAGACTCTGGGCTCTTTGGGTGGGTTTGGTTGGCCTGGGCAAGTTGCACGAACAACGCTTTCGGGGTTCCCAGCGTCTGGTTCATCCGCATTGGCCGACTGTCGGTGCCCGATTCAGTCATCCCTGGTGCCCAATTCGGTGCCTGACAACCGACACGGGTAGCGCCTGCGGGCCGCACCGAGCTTCGATATAGCTAGTTATTTAGCGTGTTTCAGCAGATACCTGCTGTAGCACGCATAGGAATTGCGATTCATGTGATTCTGAAGCTAGATTCAGGGAAAGCGGGGGGTGCTCTATAACTAAGCAAGGCGATTACGGCGGCTCCCACAGCATCAACACGGTCCATAACGTCGGTTCAAGCTCACACTCTGGAGGTGGCTTCAGCCATACTGAGACCTTTGGAGATTTGCCACCGGGCTTCAAGATGGAGGGTGGCAAATGGGTATACAAGGGCGGCCATGTCGAGGTGAGTGGCAGCAGCAAGCTTCCACCAGGTTTCCACATGAAGGGCGGAAAAATCGTTTATGGCCACGGTAGCCACACCATGTCCTTGCCTGAAGGCAGCTTCCACTCGCAAGGCGGACATGTGGTCTTCAGTGATGCCAGTGGTGCTGCCGGATCTGCGAGTGTGAGCCACACCGCGCACGGCGGCGGTACCTTCAGCCACACTGAGACCTTCGGAGATATGCCACCGGGCTTCAAGATGGAAGGTGGCAAGATGGTGTACAGCAAGAGCGGCCACTTCGATTTCAGTGGCGACGGCAAGCTGCCACCAGGTTTCCACATGAAGGGTGGAAAGGTTGTCTATGGCCACGGCAGCCATGCGATGTCCTTCCCCGAAAGTGACTTCCACTCGCAAGGCGGACATGTGGTCTTCAATACAGGTCAAAAGCATTGAAGTTGAAGCGCGGAGGATTTGATTGCTGTGAAGCTGATTCGACAAAGGGTTGGTTGGCCACTGGGAAGCTTTGAGAGAATGTTTTAAGCCTGGAGACAGGCACTTCCTCTTTCTCGTGCAAAGCCTCATAAACCAGGATTTAATTTTTTCTTCGCGCACCATGGCCATGTTACGTTTGCATGTCAGCCGAGCAGATCCTAAGGTTTTGGGCACACCAACTCAAAGGCTGCAGCTCCTTGGCTTGCTCTGCGTTGGGGGAGAAGGGGGAAGTGGGGTGGCTATGAAAGGCAGCACTTATTTACCTGACAAATAGATTCAGCGTCAGGCCGCCCATGCGCAGCAGATTCAAGTTTAGTTTGATTCTCAAGTCTTCTGTTTTCGCGCTTGATTATCTTCCCAGAATTTCCAACTGAGCTCGGGACCAGCTGTTAGGATGGTCCGGTTTTTGGCGCAGCTCCGCCGTGTCTGAGTGGTTTACCTCAGCAAAAAGACCCCCCGCAGCTGGGTTGTGTCGCCACGTGCAGTTCTAGAAATAGTCAAACAGTGTAAGGCTAGAGAAAGTCATGGCAGGCTCTTCAATAATCCAGTCGCAGCACTGTAGGCAGCATCGCTTTCGCTCATAGCTCCAAGCCAGCTCATGCTCTTGCAGAAAGAAAGTCTATCGATGCCGAAAGATGTTATCTGCAGGCTTGGAGCCCAAGAGCTCTTCACAGGCAAGCTCTGGCCAAAGTGCTACTCTTGCCACTGCTAGAACCATTGCCCCATCCCCGTGCACAGCCACGACATGCTTAGAGCAACGTTCAGTCTCAGTCAGCCTGAGCTTGAATATGCTTGGTGCACTGGGGCCTCGGTGCCAGCACGCCTCTGGGGCAATAGTGGTACGATATTGATTTTTGTCTTTTCCAGGCCGACTCGATGCCGACCTCCTTGACGCTTCTAGGCGACATAGTTGAGAGCATGCAAAGCTCAGTCCAAGATTTGAAATGCTTCGCGCGGCAAAGTCCAGGGTTGAAGGTCCCACAGAGAGCTTAGGCCTGAAGGCACGCATGTGCCACAATTTTGATTGCCAACGCGAGCTGTATATGGTGGCTCAATCACAGACCTTCAACCCGAGCTTGAGAGTCAGATGATAAAATCATCCTTCCCTCGAAAAACATACAGAAGCTAGCTGCAGGTCTTGCGGACCGAAAGCCGCAACCCCTGCCAGGCCGCTCAGAGAAAATGCCACAGATCGCCCTGCATGTTTTCACGTAGGTAGCTCCTGCAGCAGGGATAGCAGGGGTCTCCATCAAAGACTCAACAGCAGCCTTGCCAGAGGAATCTTGCTTGGCTAAAGACCAAAGTGTTCACTGAGCCATTGCTCATCTTGGCCTGCTGGCCTCATGGACCTGAAGCATATACCTGCCGTCTCGGCCGCGTGCTTCAGCCTGCAAAACAGCGGTCGTGACAAACAAGATCCAAGAACAAGTGGCTCTAGATCCCTTAAGCCTTCCATCCCACGCCAGAAGCTGGCGTGGGGTGGGGCGTGCTTGGCGCCAGCCCCACTTTACAACCACAAACCCCAGTCAACTGCACAAACGCTTTCCAACCCAAAACCCCCGGCAGCCCCAGCACCAGCTGAACCCACAGAAACTTCAAAGCTCAGTCGCTGTGCTCGCTTTGGGCCTGGCAGCCCTGCACCGCCCCAACATGGCTTCACCTGCCAGCTCGCTGGAGCCGCGAGAGGCCACCTGTGTGCCTGGTGGGGTTTAGCTGATGTGAGGCCTCCAGACTTGAGTTGGGCCACGCGCCAAAAGGATCCGCACCTGGAGCTCATTTCGTGTCCGGAATCTTGATCTTGATGGGTGAAGTCCCGGCACGTCTCACGCCGTGAAGCCATTTTGGGATTTTTGCACACGAAACCCCAGCAAAGCTAGCCTATTGCTGTGACGACCCCCAGCTTCGTCCTTCCTCCTTCACTGATGGGTTTGCGTCTGTCTCTGTCCGGACAATTATCTTGCATGCGACTAACACGGGCAGATCTGCAAGCTTCATGCCCTAGATATCTTGCTAGAATACACATGCGCATGAGTCTCATCAGGAGCCTCTGCAACGAGAGGCAAGCCGGATCGCGGTGCGGGCCAACTTGGCTCAGGCCACGTGTCCTGGTTCTGGGCTTTCAGTGAAGCGCTGGAGACCAAGAGAAAGAGGATCATGATCGAGTGATCGAGCTTTGAATAGTTGCCGGACCTGAGGACTGCAAAGCCTGCAAAGCATTCTAGCAAGAAGGTGGCCCAGGTTCACTGAACACGAACTGTTTTGTGAGTCCAGGGGCCCCAGTACTGAGCTTCAGTTGTCAGAGACTGGCAAGTCCATGTCTCAAAGCGCTCCGCGTTAAACAAGGTGATGGATGTTGCGTTTGCCCGACTTTCGCGGCTAGTCATGTGCCTCTTGGTGACATCAGAGGAAATTACAATAGCTTAGTTAGATATGGCTGCGACATCCGCCATCCACTTGTGTTCCCAACCGGTGAGCCTCTCCAAATTTGGACAGTTTCCTGGACAACAGCCAGCGCATTCGCAGCTGAGGCATAGTGGTGCTGCTCTTAACAGGTATGCTGCTAATCCTTTTCTGGTGCCCTGGCTGCATCACAGCGCCCACGCAAGACAATCCAAGCAGCTTAGCAGCGCAGCTCGCCAAAGGTCTCAGATGGTGTTCTCCAGCCATGTGCCTCAACAGCAAGCGATGCAGGTGGTATTAGTGTTTGTCAGGTAGCCTATGTTGCCTTGCTGATTCAATCTAGCGTGGGATGCCGGTCGCCTACGGATTCATGAGTATGTTTCCCAGCTTGGTCCTAGAATTCTGGTATGTTGTGGAGCCAGTTGAACCGGCTCTGCATCATGCATTGCAGCCTTCCACTCTTTTACTACTTCAGCATGTGTTTGGTGCCACTGCAGTCAGTTCATTCTTATCCGGGGATCAGAGATGCACATCAACGTGCAAATCAAACAATCATCGCAGGTCCTCTCTTACTTAGGGGAGGACTGCGCTTCTGTGATCGAATTTCCTGTTGGTGCCCCAGACAGCTCAGGAGTTCGACTCTTGCGACCAGCCGCTGGCACTGATGATAAGGCCATGACGAGTTTGAAAGTTCTTGAAGTCAGGCCAAAGGGCTACTCACAGACAAGCCGCAAAGGATCAGAAGTGTGCCAACCCTATTATCCGCCTCTGCCTATGCATTGCTGGGGCTTGTACTGTGCCATTGCCCAGCCATTGGTAGTAGTTTCCATTCTATTTTCCATTATCCCAATATGACCCCAATAAAACCCTAACATTATCCAATATAACCTTAACAAGTTCCTTTTCCATGTTCTTTTCGATTTGATTCTCCAATACCCTTTCTTGGGTCATTCCTTAAGTATGCGCTTGTTCAGGCTGATTTTCATTATCGTTATGGTGCAGACTATGCAGAAGGCCGAATGCTTTCCCAGTCGATTGGCTTGCAAGCTCACAGGATATAAGCCCTATTCTAAACTCCTTAAGGGGCTCATATAGAGGACCATGGGGGATATAACGGGGGATACTAGGAGTTTAGAATATGGTTGAATGTGCCTGCTCAGTGTTCCTTAGTACTGACTGAATCTGCTGCCCCCACTGCCTGTTAGCTTTGAGTGTGCTGCTCCATTTGGGACCCTTGCGTAGTATGATGAGCTAGCTTGGCGTAGAACCAAGGTGCCCTCTTCTTACTGGTGGTAACTAGGGAATAGGGAATAAAACCTCTTTGTATTCCCTATAGCCTATATGGGTGGTTGTCAAAATGATGGTCCCTTTTTGGATCGCTATTATAATACGGCCCCTAATACTTAGGGTACCCCAAAAGGGACCATAATTTTGACAACCCCCCATATACTATATCCCCTTCTTCCCCACCAATCTCCAGTAAGTTGGAGCACGGTCCAAGTAGCCGAAGGCCATCTCGCGGCACTGCTTGTGCTATGATGCTGCCGAGGCAGCTGTGGCATCTGTCATTTGCAGTAGTAGTAGTAGTAGTAGTAGTAGTAGTAGTAGTAATAAAAATACATATAGTAATAGTCATAGTAGTAGTAGTAGTAGTAGCAGTAGCAGTGCTGATCACTATAGGAGGAGATCCATTCGGAACAGGATGATGCTACCCATTTCAGGATTTTGAGGAGTGTGCTCTTTCTTCTGCCAAGTAGCGGCTAGCATAGGGGTATTAATCTACCACCGCAGTGCGTGCCGGCAGAGAAGTGATACATACTTACTGCCAGGAATGAAAACCATAATCATTTGCGTACTGGTTGTTTGTAGGGAACATGGGAATGTATTACATGGGCGGTATATAGGGATTTTATTCCCTTGTTCCCTACTAAGAATCGGCAAGTAATGATGTAGTAGATGAGCGCTGCGCAGCTGTATGCACCAGCTTTGAACCAAGTCTTGCCAAGTCTAAACTGCCAGTAAACCTGACTCTGATCCAAATCTAGCAGCGCCCCCCTAATCTACAGTAGAGTATGGGTATGATCTTCCCAGTTTTTAGGTCCGATTTGCTTAGGGATACTTGGAGGTCGGGGGATTGAGTAAGTAGGTTGATGACCTAGCGTTTCCTGTAATAACCTCGTATCCCCCATTATTAACTTGCTAGGTCTCCCTGACATTCCAAGTGCCTGGTACCCTAACCCTTAAACCCCAAACTCGAAATTGTAGCTTCCATTTTCTTTTATATTTCCCATATAAACCTTACTTAACCCCTAACCCCGTGGCTATACCAGCTGGAATCTAAACCCTAGTAGAATCCCAGTTTCCATTGCACCAGTATTGGGCCACATCCATATTCAACCCCTATGCACCCTTAAACCCTGAAACCCATGCATCCTTAAGCCCTAAACCCTTGCCTTAAACGCTCAGATTCTTAAATCGTTAAACTCTAAGCCCCTAAATCCTTAAACCCTTCTCGCTAAACCCCAAGACCTCTAAACCCCCCAAACCAAATTGGGCTATTG